GCTGGACCTGCTGAGGGTCCTGGAGCTACTGGCGGTGCTGGAGCTGCTGGAGGTGCTGGAGCTGCTGGAGGTGCTGGAGCTGCTAGAGGTGCTGGAGCTGCTGGTGCTGGTGGCACTGCTCAGCAGCGCCTGTTCTTCGCTCCGCCGTCTCCGTCGTCTCAGCCACCACCTGACTCTGCACTTCGTCAGGTTCTCAGTCTTCCCTCGTCTACTGGTCTTCCGTTACAGCCTGGCTCACCGCTGCCTGCTCCTTCTCCGTACACAGAGCAGACTAGGGGCCTTGCTGAGCGTCGTGAGCCTGTGTCGCGTCCTGTCTCACCTGTCCGTTCTGGTCGTTCTGGTCGTCGTGTTGGCTGTCTCCGGCTCTCACCTTGTAGTTCGTCGTCCTTCCTCTCCTCCGCTGCGTGTTCCTCTGCCGTCTCCCCCTGTGTCCTCTCTGCCTGTCGTTGCTGACCCTGCGTCTGACCAGTTTCGTGCTGAGCACTCTACTGTCACGCGTCTGCTTGCCACTGTTGTCACTGACCCGTCGTTTGAGTCTGCTACTGCGTCTGCCTTAGTCGCTGAGCTTGTTGACTTTGCTGCTGCCTGTCGTCTCGACTACGCCGCCAGTCTTGTTGCTGAGTCTGAGTCTGTCTGTCCTCCGTCCGTCGGGGGTGAGTGTGCTCTTGGCACGGACGTCCTTGAGGACAGACAGGAGGACCTTGAGTGTCTTGCAGCCGCTGCGCCTCATCTCGTATCCATGCTGCTTGCCCCTGAGGGAGACCCGGATGCACCAGACATCCCTACCCCGCGCTCTTACGCTGAGGCGATCGCGGGTGAGTACTCCTCTCAGTGGCAGACAGCCATGGACGCAGAGATGGCATCCTGGAAGTCCACAGGCACCTACGTCGACGAGGTTCCCCCTCCTGGGGCGAACATTGTCAGTGGCATGTGGATTTTCAGGGTGAAGCGGCCGCCAGGTTCTCCGCCTGTCTTCAAGGCTCGGTACGTGGCTCGAGGCTTCAGTCAGCGAGAGGAAGTTGACTTCTTCCAGACCTTCTCCCCCACCCCGAAGATGACCACTCTTCGGGTGCTGCTGCACGTTGCCGCTCAACGTGACTACGAGCTTCACTCTCTTGACTTTAGCACAGCCTTCTTACAGGGTAGCCTGCACGAGGAGATTTGGCTGCGCCGCCCTCCTGGCTTCACTGGGTCGTTTCCTCCTGGTACCCAGTGGAGCCTCCGGCGGCCGGTCTACGGTCTCCGCCAGGCGCCACGTGAGTGGCACGACACACTGAGGACGACACTTGCGGCTCTTGGGTTTGCTCCGTCGACTGCTGACCCGTCGCTGTTTTTGCGCACCGACACTTCTCTGCCGCCGTTCTACGTTCTCGTGTACGTCGACGACTTGGTCTTTGCCACTGCTGACACTGAGGCTCTCGCCCTGGTGAAGTCGGAGCTGCAGAAGAGACACACGTGCACAGACCTGGGTGAACTGCGCAGCTACCTTGGCTTGCAGATCACCCGGGACAGAGCACGGCGCACCATCACACTGACTCAGTCACACATGGTGCAGCAGGTCCTTTAGCGCTTCGGTTTCACCTGGTCCTCAGCACAGGCCACTCCTCTGGCTATAGGTCACTCGCTCTCAGCTCCACCTTCGGACGAGTCCGTAGAGCCGAGTGGTCCTTACCCAGAGTTAGTGGGCTGCCTCATGTACCTGATGACTTGCACTCGTCCTGACCTTGCGTACCCTCTTGGCCTTCTGGCTCGCTACGTGGCTCCTGGTCGGCACCGAAAGGTGCACATGGATGCTGCCAAGAGGGTACTACGCTACTTGTGCAGTACATCGGGCATGGGGCTCGTGCTTGGAGGACGGGGTGACGTTGTCCTCACAGGTCACTCGGACGCCTCTTGGGTTGACGACCAGGCTACGCAGCGGTCGTCACAGGGTTACACCTTCAGCCTTGGTTCTGGTTCAGTTTCCTGGCGTTCTACACGTTCGTCTTCAGTTCTCGGCTCCAGCTGTGAGGCAGAGATCTACGCCACAGCCATGGCTGCACAGGAGCTGCGCTGGCTCACCTACCTGCTGACCGACTTGGGAGAGAGGCCTCGTTCTCCTCCAGTTCTGTACGTCGACAACAAGGCCATGTTGGCCTTGTGTCAGGAGCACAGACTGGAGCACAGAACAAAGCACATCGCTCTCCGTTACTTTCTTGCTCGAGAGCTGCAGCAGCGTGGCCAGCTTCGTCTTACCTACGTGGCCACTGGGGCCAACACTGCTGATATATTCACCAAGGCGCTTCCGCCTGGTGATCATCAGCGTTTCTGCACTTTGTTAGGCCTTGTGCCCACTCTTCCTCACTTGCTGTAGGCCTTGTTTGTACCATGATTTATATGTATTCCTGCATGCTTGTTCTTGTAGGTAGATATCACTGTACTGTTGTTGTTACATATATATTTCTGCATGTGAACTGGCCTTGTGGCCTTCTTGCTTGTGCTCAGACTGCGTGGTGACGTTGTGATCCACCCTGAGCTTGCTTTGCACTTCTTGACTGGTCTTGTGACCCTCTGTTCTCCCCCACTTTGCCTATGGGGGTGTGTCAAACATATGTGTATATTTGTTATAGTTTGGTTAGGCTTAGTGGGGTACTCACTGTGGGGTACAACCCCTTAGGTTTCTCCTTTGTATCTTTCCCTTTCGATAGTCAACACACCACTTTCCCGTAAGATTCAAACAGACCGCACATCCTACATCCAAGAATGCCTCAACCACCTCCTTGACAAGAGCACTTACACTGAAATATTCACGACTACAGCAGATTTTGAAGATCCCCGGTCTTCGGTTTTTGCCAAGTTAATTGACATTCGTGCTAACTTTGGACCTTTACTCCCTAGATATCTGTGGAATTACTTTACTCGCCCTCCGACAAGTGGCTGGAAGCCGGCCATTTTTTATGTCATTATGAAGGTGCACAAGAAAGTCCCAGTTGGACGACCTATAGCAGCTTCCCACTCCTGGGTTACCGCCAATGCCAGCCGCTGGTTAGACGCTGCTCTTCGACCGCTGGTTCTCCAGCAGCCTACGTACCTGAGAGACTCATTGTCACTTCTCCTTCACCTGGAGAAAACTCCCATGCCGAAGAAGTTACTACTTGCCACCTACGACGTCCAAGCTCTTTACCCTTCAATCCCGCTACGAGAAGGTGTCGATGTTGTCCGCTCCTTTCTGGAACGAGACCCACTACGTTTTCCCAACGCACCTGTCATTGTAGCTTTATTGGAGTGGGTAATGTTTAACTCTTACGTGGATTTCGATGGAAGGATATTTCGGCAGATTCAAGGGACGGCGATGGGTATCTCAGTTGCAGTTTGCTTCGCCATCCTATACATGAGCCGGCTGGATGAGATTCTTCGAGCTCGTATGAGTCCCAGTATCCCGCTTCTCCATCTCCGCTACATAGACGACGGTTTCATCTGCTGGAAGGGGAGTTAGGAGGGATTGGAGGATTACTTAGCAGCTTTCAATACTCTTCGGCCTACAATCAAGCTTACATGGACGATTTCTGAGACTTCCGTCGATTTCTTAGACCTAGTCATCCATAAAGGACAGCGATTCAACTGCTCTGCTGGACATTTCCACTTTTCAGAAGCCTAACAACACCTACCTTTATCTCCCATTTTCATCTTTTCATCCACAACACTGTAAGGAGGGGTTTATCCGCTCCGAGCTCAAACGCTACTTGCTCAGAAGCTCCAGTTTTGACGATTTCTGCAGCATGAAGCAGACTTTTTTCAAAAGGCTACGCTCCAGAGGATATTCACATCATTTCCTGCTACCTCTCTTTACGACCATTACCTTCAGTCTACACGATGAGCTCTTACTACAAGCTCTTCAACATATCATGACAAGAACACCAGTCGTTATGATATTATAAAACGCGCTGCGTCTTTTATTTTCTTGATTAATAACTTCTTTCCTCAGGCGAAAGGGCCACTAGACTGAAGGCGCCATGGCGGAGGAAGTTATTCTTACAGCGAACGACCTAATGACGGGGCCACCATCGCCGGTGATTCCGCGAGACCTCGCGCCGCGAGCGCTGGAGGGCGTCGATACGTGCAGCGACCGATTGAGAGCTCTCTTTGAATGTGAGCCGTTGGATGAGAGCTGATGGCAGAGAGCGTAGGCGCGTGGATGCGCGAGGGTGGCCCCGATGCGCGTGGATTGCAGTGACCGAGTACCAGAACGCTCTTTGAATGTGAGCCGTTCAATTCAATCGGTGGTTGCGCGTGCTGCATGTGTGTGCGGATCGGATTAGTGCAAACGATGACGAGGCCGCGAGTGAGTGCGTGAGACGGTTTGAATGTCGGGGCAGGGAACGAGGCAAATCAGACGATCGGCCTTTTAAGTGAGAGCCTTCCATTCCCGCGCGCGCACACGGGACGAATCAAAAGTTCCCTGCTCGGACATTCGGCCCGTCTCACCTTGCAGCTGCGAGCGCTACGTTTTCTCGCCCACTTCGCACGCGTTGCACTTCCCGCAGCCTCCCTCCCCCCTCACCGGTCCCACACTTTCTCTCCCTTTCAAACCCCTCCCCGACACCCTCCCCTCCACCCTCCCCGCCACTCTCCCCGCCAACCTCTCCCCCATCTTCTCCCCCGTCCGCGGCCCACAAGCTTGCTCGCGAACGAGGCGGAACTCTTAGGATCATCTTTGAGTCGCCTCGAAGGTCTCCCCCGTCCGCATTCCCCCGTGTCCGCACTCCCTGCTGTCCACACTCCCCCCTGTCCACACTTCCCCCCTGTCCACACTCCCCTCTGTCCGCCCTCTCCCACGTCCCCTCTCCCTCTCCCACTCCCCGCCCCTCCGCGCACCACAGGCTTGCACGCGAACGAGGTGGAGCCGTTCTGCCAGGATGACTGTTGAATCGCCTCAGAAGTCTCCCTCATCCGCCCTCCCCCGCGTCCGCCCGCCGTCCGCCCTGCCTCCGTCCGCACTCTCCCCTATCCGCGCACCACAGGCTTGCATGCGAACGAGGTGGAGCCGTTCTGCCAGGATGCCATCCTCACACTGCGGCGCTGCACGGCGCACAGGGTATGTGGAGCTGTGCAGAGGGGCACAGTGCGGTGAAGAGGCTCACAGTGCGGTGGAAAGGTATGGGTGAGAGAGGAAAGGAGGGAAGGTGGAGCCGTTCTGCCAGGATGCCATCCTCACACTGCGACGATGCATGGCGCACAGGGTAGGTGGGGCGGTGGAGAGGCGCACAGTGCGGTGCAAAGGGGCACAATGCGGTGGAGAGGTGCACAGAGCGTTGGAGAGGTATGAGTGAGAGTCTAGAGAAGGGAGGGAAGGTGGAGCTGTTCTGCCAGGATGCCATCCTCACACTGCAACGATGCACGGCGCACAGGGTAGGCACGGGGGGGGGGGGCTAGCAGCGCACAGGGTAGGCACGGGGGGGGGGAGGCTCGCAGGGTGGTGGAGAGGCGGCGGTAAGGGTGAGGGAAAGGGACGGAAGGTGCAGCCGTTGTGCCAGGAGGCCATTCTTGGGGCCCCTTCCTTCCTTGCTGCTGCCCTGCGGCCCTCTTGCCCCTCGTCTTTCATCCGCCCGTCCTTCCATTCCACCCCGCCTTGTCAATGGCCTTCTTTTTTACTACTTCTCGCCTCTCGCCCTTCGAAGCTCACCTCTCGCCCTTCGTCTCTCGCCGCTCGCCCCTCGCATCAGCTCGAGGTCCCTCTGGCCGCCTGCTGCTGCGCACACAAGGGGAGGATGCGTGCTCTCGGTGTATGCCCTTCCAGATTTCCAGCTTTCTCGCCCCTCCCCACCCATCCTCGGCCCTCGCCGCCTCTCCCTTTCAGGATGAGGTCCTTTTAGCGTGCCTGGTGCACGCATAGCACGAGACTGCCAACCAACTGTTACTGCATGGGCGCTCAACCTCCCCACTGCACCCTCCCAGCCCTCACCTCATCTCCCTTTGTCAACCTGCCTCCCTTCCTCTCCCCCCTCCTCTCTCTTGCAGTATGAGGTACTTAGAGCTCGTCCACATGCAGAGAGGGAGGCAGCCAGCTATTGCTGCATGCGCTTCCCACACTCCCCACTCCACCCTCCCCACGCTCCCCACTCCACCCTCCCCACGCTCCCCACTCCACCCTCCCCACGCTCCCCACTCCACCCTCCCGACGCTCCCCACTCCACCCTCCCCACGCTCCCCACTCCACCCTCCCGACGCTCCCCACTCCACCCTCCCCATGCCGAGGGGGAGGCAGCCACCTATCGGTGCAGGATGAGGTGCTTCGAGCGTGCCTGCTGCAGGCAGAGGGGGCGGGTACCAACGATTGCTGGTTGTGCTTCCATGCTCCCCAGTCCACCCTTTCCGTTTACTCTCCCAACGCTCCTCTCTCCTCCTCGCCCTTCCTCTCTCTTGCAGTATGAGGTACTTAGAGCTCGTCCACATGCAGAGAGGGAGGCAGCCAGCTATTGCTGCATGCGCTTCCCACACTCCCCACTCCACCCTCCCCACGCTCCCCACTCCACCCTCCCCACGCTCCCCACTCCACCCTCCCCACGCTCCCCACTCCACCCTCCCGACGCTCCCCACTCCACCCTCCCGACGCTCCCCACTCCACCCTCCCGACGCTCCCCACTCCACCCTCCCCACGCTCCCCACTCCACCCTCCCGACGCTCCCCACTCCACCCTCCCCATGCCGAGGGGGAGGCAGCCACCTATCGGTGCAGGATGAGGTGCTTCGAGCGTGCCTGCTGCAGGCAGAGGGGGCGGGTACCAACGATTGCTGGTTGTGCTTCCATGCTCCCCAGTCCACCCTTTCCGTTTACTCTCCCAACGCTCCTCTCTCCTCCTCGCCCTTCCTCTCTCTCGCAGGATGAGGTGCTGCGAGCGCGGCTGCTGCAGGCAGAGGGGGAGGCAGCGGGCTGTCGATCGCCAGAGGGGAATGAGGAGCGAGTGGGGCAGATGAGAGGGCAGGCGGAGCAACTGGAGAGGTAGGGAGGGCGTCTGTGCTGTGTGCAATTCAGACGAACGGGACTTGTGAGTAGAGTCAGGAGTCAGCTGGAGAGGTAGGGAGGGAGTGCGGTGTTGTGTTGTGTGTGTGAGGCACGTGGTCGCTGTCCGTTTCGTCAGGTGAAGAAAGAAGGAATATCTGGGCAGAGGGGGGAAGGGGGAAGGGAAAGGGCAATAAAAGAAGGGATCTAATAGACGGGATGAAGGAGCGTTTTGTGATCTGGGTTGCAATGCTCCCACTGTCTTTCTCCCCTCTTTCTCCTCTCTTTCTCCAATCCTCCCCCCCCTCCCCCCGTTTTTTCCTCTTTCTTCCCTCTTTCTCCCCGTTTCCGCCCTTTCCTCCCCCATTCTCCCCCTTTTGTCCCCCGTCTCCCCCGTTCATTCCCCGTCCTCCCCCTTTTCTTCCCCGTTCTCCCCCCTTACTCCCGCTTCTATCCCCCATTCTCCCCACTACCTCCCTGTTCTCCCTCCTTTTCTCCCCCGTTCTCCCCTTTTTCTCCCCTGTTCTCCCCCTTTTTCTCCCCCGTTCTCCCCCTTTTCTCCCCCGTTCTCCCCCTTTTCTTCCCCGTTCTCCCTCCTTTTTCCCCCCGTCCTCCCCCTCTCCTCCCCCGTTCTCCCCCTTTTTCTCTCCCGTTCTCCCCATTTTTCTTCCCCGTTCTCCCAATTTTCTCCCCTCCAGTGGCACGCCGAACGGTGTATTTACATGCTTTATTCACTTCCACGCACCCCCTGCATTCCCCGCTTGCCACACTCACAGGCGCCTCATCCTGGCCAATGCCACGCCCGGCCCTGAGGGCTTCCACATGTGCTGGAGGCTGCATGTCATCAAGTGCTTCCCTTACTCTCACTACTTATTCCCAGCTCACACTTCCTTGATTCCAAACCCACACTTACATCCCCCACTCACACGTGCAGACGCCTCATCCTGGCCAGTGCCACGCCCGGCCCTGAGGGCTTCCAGACGCGCTGGAGGCTGCACGGCGAGCTGCAAGACACCAGGTGAGGTGCCTCTGGCCCCACCTTCCGTGCTGGAGGGTGCATGGCCAGCGCCTTCCCCACCTTCTCACCCACCCCCTCTCTGCCTCGCTCCCTGCCTCGCTCCCTGCCTCGCTCCCTGCCTCGCTCCCTGCCTCGCTCCCTGCCTCGCTCCCTGCCTCGCTCCCTGCCTCGCTCCCTGCCTCGCTCCCTGCCTCCCTCCCTCCCTCCTCCCTCCCGCCCTCCCTCCTTCCCTCCTCCCTCCCTCCCTCCCTCCTCCCTCCGTCCCTCCCTCCCGCCCTCCCTCCCTACACTGCCCACAGTTGCTGTCTGGTTATCCCTGCCCACCCATTCTGCCATTGTCCCATACCATTTCTTCTCACCACTGTCATCCCTCCACCATCATCCCTCCACCATCGTCCCACCACCATCATCCCTCCACCATCATCCCTCCACCATCACCCCTTCGCCATCATCCCTCCACCATCATCCCTCCACCATCATCCCTCCACCATCGTCCCTCCACCATCGCCCCACCACCATCATCCCTCCACCATCATCCCTCCACCATTATCCCTCCACCATCACCCCACCACCATCACCCCACCACCATCACCCATCACCCCTCCACCATCACCCCTCCACCATCACCCCTCCACCATCACCCCTCCACCATCACCCCTCCACCATCACCCCTCCACCATCACCCCTCCACCATCACCCCTCCACCATCACCCCTCCACCATCACCCCACCACCATCACCCCTCCACCATCACCCCTCCACCATCACCCCACCACCATCACCCCTCCACCATCACCCCTCCACCATCACCCCTCCACCATCACCCCTCCACCATCACCCCTCCACCATCACCCCTCCACCATCACCCCTCCACCATCACCCCTCCACCATCACCCCTCCACCATCACCCCTCCACCATCACCCCTCCACCATCACCCCACCACCATCACCCCTCCACCATCACCCCTCCACCATCACCCCTCCACCATCACCCCTCCACCATCACCCCTCCACCATCATCGTCACCATCATCTCTTCACGTCCCTTCACCATCTTTCCTCCACCATCATCCCTCCCCCATCATCACCATCATCCGCATCGCACAGGGCAAGGATGAAGGTGCTTGAAGCCAAGATGCACGAGCAGGTGCAGGCGTCCAGAGACAAAGAAAGGGCCAGCAAGCCGTGGTGGCGAATAATATAGTTACTGGTTTCAACCACGTTGTTACACTTGATAGATACACGCCCGCTGGGGCCCCGCGCTACGTTTGGGGGGGTTCGACAACAGGGCAATGAAATAGTAGTCTCCAAGGCATAATTCAGCATCAGCTGTAAAACTCTCAGAGGCAACGCAGCACACTCACTGGGCCCTCGGCTGCGCCGGATTCTAAGCGCTCATATTTGCTCGTTGCTCATTCCTACCCGTCACACGCTACAGCGTCGCTCGTGCAGCCGGCACACTCTCACACGTCACTCACACGATGCCTTCATGTAACCCTCCCCATCCCGCTCGCACCCCCTCCTCCTTGCCCACGTTTTTCCCCATCGCCCTCACTGCCCAACATCGCCCTCACTGCCCAACATCGCCCTCACTGCCCAACATCGCCCTCACTGCCCAACATCGCCCTCACTTCCCAACATCGCCCTCACTTCCCAACATCGCCCTCACTTCCCAACATCGCCCTCACTTCCCAACATCGCCCTCACTTCCCCCTTTCCACCACCCATCTCCCCACAAATACCACAGACCTTCCCCCCTGCAATCCGTCATCCTTTCCCACGCATACTACCTGCCTTCCGCCCACCAATCATCCGTCTTCCCCCAAGTATCACCTGCCTACACCCCTACATACCACACGCATTTCCATCCACATACCACCCTGCTTGCGCCCCCGACACCGCTAAAATTCCCCCAACACCCCCAGGTTCCACCCACCATTTCCCCCACATACCACCTGCCTTCCCCGCCACATACACCCCTCCTTCCCCTCCACCTTCCTCCTTCCTTCCACCCAACATACTACCACCCCCCATACCCCCCACGTACAATCCATCGTTCCCACCATATCCCACCCTCCTACGAACCCCCTACTTTCCACCACTCTGCCCTCCACATACCACCAGCATCACCCCCCATATACCCCCAGACATTCCTCCCTCCCTCCCACCACGCACCACCCACCTTACCTTCCACATACCGTACCACCCTCCTCCCCCCCCACATTATTCCCTTCTCCACCCCACATACCATCCACCTGCCACACCACATACCATGATACCACCTGTACACCCCCCCATATTCCACCCCCCCATATTCCACCCCCCCATATTCCACCCCCCCATATTCCACCCCCCCATATTCCACCCCCCCATATTCCACCCCCCCATATTCCACCCACCATCACCCCAAATACCACTCGCCTCCTCCCCCACATACCACCTGCCTTCGCAACCACATTTCCTCCAACCTCCCCCCCCCCCCCCCCCATTCCACCCGCCTGCCCACACATTCCTCTTTGCTCCCCCTCGCATACCCCTTAGCTTCTGCCCACATGCCAACCACCTTCTCAACATACAACATGCCTTCCCAACCGCATTCCACCCACTTTCCCCCATGCATTCCTCCTAGGCTATAGCGCGCATCTGGCAAATTGACCCAAAACACATCAAGGGCCTCACTTAACCATTCGCACAACAATACCGTATCACCCCGGATGTGAGCGCAGGTGCGCTTATAATAAAACATTGTTTTTTAGGGGGGAGTCACAGGCATAAGCGCATGCGGTTGCACCGGTGTTAGGTGACAAATGAAGTTGGCTTTAAACTATACCTAATTGAAGCCCACTGTAAGGCGAATGCAGCCGACCATGCATCACGTGGGGTCGTGCATGAATTCCAGGCGAAAACAGCAACACGCCTCGGATTCCCACCCCACACTTTCGTCTAGAAGCATCGCACCTGCCAGCGATGACGCGAATCTTGCCGTGCGGCCCAATCACATCGCAATGCGCTGCGTGGCATGTGAATTCCATCCAAACCCTCTCGAAGGGTGCAGAAGATTCCCTGCCAGCGCACCGACTAGGCCGCCACGCAGGGTCCTCTGCGGGTTCAGGCGGGGGTTTCTTGCATGCACCTGACAAGGACCCCGAGCCGCAAACCTAGCAGGGGTCCCCTCCGTTTCCCATTTCTGCAACCCCACTTTCTGTTTTTCATTCAGATTCTTGCTCTAGCCCGCCTGGCTGGCGAAGCCATGGCGGAATTCACCGGGACCCACTTCCTTTTTAAGAAGAAATCGATATGCGCGTGGCGATTAACTGACGACGGGTGGTATACCCGTGAGCCTCCTGGGCCTCCTTACCTACCTGTGCCTCCAGCGCCGCCTGAACCCCCTGCTCCTCCTGCACCCCCTGCTCCTCCTGCTCCACCTGCTCCTCCTGCTCATCCCGCCCCTCCTGCTCCTCCGAATCCGCCTGCTCCTGTTACATTACCGGTACTCCTTAGACGGGCAAACGACCTGTGCTCCAACTCTTGCTGCCAGCGACGTTCGACGAGTGGCTGTCTGAACCGGAGTCCGACAAGCAGGGCCTATGATTCACTTTTAGGGACCCTGAGCCCTCAGGGCATGGCTAAAAAAAGGATGTCGTCCTCAGGGCAGAGCCCTCTCGGTGACCCTAATTTTGCAAGGCATCACAGAACTCAACCCTGAAGCATCGGGGCTTTTTTTCTTGTCACCCTGAATTGGTTTTGTAGTTCTAGCAGTGCATTTTATTCACATTATTAGATCGGGTTAGGAGCAAGTCCTACCTAGTTGGCATGTACCAGCAGACGCCTGGCTTCGTGAAAACGGTTACGTATGTGTGGTGGGTGTTAGAGGGGTACCGTGCAGCCACGCCTACTGCACTGCTGTAAGTTTCTCCGTGTGGGCAGATTTTCCGTCAATGTGAGTGGTGGGGGGGGTTGACACGTGTGTTATCGGCGCGAAATTACGGAAATCACGGAATGCGCACATGGGCCCCCCTTGGCGCACACTATAACTGTGTCAGGGTACGCGATAAAAACACCTTGAGGCCTCAGGGCAGGCGGGTATAGAACACTCTGAATTCTCATGGTGCTCTAAAACAAGCATCCTGAAATCTCAGGGCTTTAACTACATACATCCTGAAACTTCAGGGCAGGGGTGCTAACTGAACCCTGAAATCAGGGTAATCAGGGTATTTTACCCTGATATCATAGGGCATGCCGACAAGCCCGCCGATGTCTATGTCGAAGCTTCGCCGCCGGCACCATGTTGGGGATAGCCCGAAGACTGCGCGTGGGACGAGTCGACTGTGGGCGCCGACGACGATGTACCCGCCGACGAGCAGCGACGCGGCGACGACGAACCAGGTGGCGACGGTGAAACGGGCGGCGAGGCTGGCACAGAGGCGGACGTGTTCCCAGAGGGCGGTGCCAGCGCTGCGGACGACGACGGCGTTGAGACTTGGTGGCGCGATGCCCCGCGCGAGAAGATGCCGATTCCTACATATCCTCTGATTAACATAAAACGTCTCCACCCCTCAATTGAGAACCGAGATGCCCACCCCCCCTCCCTCTCCCCCAGGCATAAACCGAAACAACATAAGCGGCACTCGTACACCGCCCAGGAAAAACTACAGTGGCTCGTGCGCTTGGAGGTTGCAGCATCAATTCGCGAGGTGGCGCGGGAGTCCGGCATCCACCGCAAGTGCCTGACCGAGTAGAAGCAGCAGGCGGACCAGCTGAAGGACACCCACAGCGCACGGAAGCCACTGCATGGACATGGGCGAGCTTCCTGGTACCGTCTGATGGAGATTAAGGTCTACGCGCAGCTCCTCGACTGGCGGCGCCGTGATGTTGCTGTTTCGGTGGGCCGTCTCCAAGAGTGGTCGGGCGAGGTGATGAAAGTCCTCTTCCCGGAAGTAAAGTGGAAAGGGAGTCAGCGATGGTCAGAGCGCTTCCGCAAGTGCTGGAATCTCAGCATGCGCATGAAAACCAAGGTGGTGCTGAAAACACAGCAACGTAAGTGCCATGTTCTCTTTGAGTTTCATGGAATTCGTTTGGTGTTCTCACTGCGTCACCTCCAAAACGTAACTCGTTTCATGCGAAGTGCTGCATAGACGAGAGCGTTGTGGGTCCTAACCGCATCACCCCTATCCTGGCACCGTAGCAGATGATTCGGTAAGCTTTTGTCCAGGATTGCCGAGTTGTCTCGCTTGCACGGGCATACCTCGGAAACTGGGAGCTCCATGCCTAGGCGGAGGCCTAGAACTAAGGAGAACTGACCGGGGGACATGGTAAGGTCAGCCCTCGTTGGAACTACATGGAGCTAGTCACCTGCTCCATCCTCTCTCTCTCTCTCTCTCTCTCTCTCTCTCTCTCTCCCTTTCTCTCTCTCTCTCTCTCTCTCTCTCTCTCTCTCTCTCTCTCTCTCTCTCTCTCTCTCTCTCTAATGGTCCGTGTATTGATAAACCAGGAGGGTTCAAAACATGCAAGGTAGGGCAAGCAAGTACTAACAATGCAAACATCTAGTCTAGCACACCTGAGTCGGCGTTGAAGTATCACCTAGCCGCCATATCCGCCAGTAGCTTGAGGAAAACCGGGACTTCAGCACATGGGCAGCCGTAGGTTTCTACGGCCAAGGGGAAGAACCCCACTGTCTCTGGTCGATTAGCTTAGTGCTTGATCTTTTTGTCGGCCTGCTCCCGGGCCGCCCATCCCCTGCCTTTCGTCGCCTCGGGATCCCTTGTGCTGATGGGGTCTGTGATTGTGACATCACACACCCAAATCGCCCCGCTGCTTCGGTCACTCATTGTGAAGTCGGCCGTTTGTTCCTCGATCGGACAGAAGGTTGCTGACTCACTGTGGACAATGAACCCCGCGTCTTGGGCCATGCTGATGCATGCGTCCCGAAGCTCGTTGTGGGTGTTAATGTGGTGCTTGCCCGTGCCGCAGTGGAAGAGATGGTTTGGTAGACGTGGGTCGAGGATGGCTGTTAGGTCCGCGCAGTCGCAGTTCGCCGACGTAGAGAATGGGAGACCGAGCCAGAAGCGAACAGCATTAGCGAAGTGCACGGGTCCAATGCACCGATTTGCCGCGATGGGGATTGCGGTCAGCCAATCTCCTATGCCGTACCCGGTCAGCGAGAACATCCGTTGGGTGTGGCCTGATAGCGGATTCAGCTTCATG